TTTTTACTTCTTCCTTCTTTCGCAAGTGGTTCCAGATTTTTTTCTTCTTTCCTTTTATTCTATTATTGCTGTATTTTATGTCTTGTGTGTTTTCGTCTTCCCTTCTATTCTTGTTGTTTCTATTCTTATATCTATTGTGTTTTTCCCTTTCCCTCTATTCTATTCTTGCTGTTTTTATTCTTATCTCTCGTGTCATTTTCCTTGTTGCAACTTTCAACCAAGCGCTTCTTTCCTTTGCAATCAAGAATGTTTCTGTTTATTTGTTTCATTTTTTTCTTTCATTTTTGTGTACTCTTATTTCAACAGCAAATGCATTATCGTCCTACAGAAGTATAGGTGTAAAGATGATGATTATAAAAATAGTAACAGTAATTATGATAATAATGATAGCAATGATAATGATGGTGATGTTGACGATGATGTTAATGATGATGATGTTGACGAAGATGATGATAATGATGATGATGATGATAATGATAATAATTATGACAACGATGATGATGACAATAATAATGATAACAACAATAATATTGAAGGTAGCGAAATAACAGTGATCATAATAATGACGATAACAATAATAACAAAAAGGTTAATAACTACAAAAACTATTATGCTGTAAGTGAACACCAAGAGCAAATACTACTACTCATAGCATACTTACCATCGCCTATTACTATCACTACCTTAACGACACCACCAAAGCAAACGCCGTGGAGATAACGAAAAAGCTTAACGGTAACATAAGTTCGAGTGGAGTTTTGTTTTGTTTTTGTTTTTTTGTGAAATTTGCAGAATCTGAACCTGTTGTTGATTACTTGATTTCTTTCTTTCTTTTTTTCTAAGGCTAAAGCAGGTTTCGATTGAGTCTTAACGGTTAATTTTGCTTTGGTTCGGTGATGGTAATCCTAGTGTAGATCAGTTGATTAGTGTTATTTGGTTTGGATGATTTTAGTGTATTTCGTGTGGATAATATCAGTGTTTTTGGTATGGTTAATCTTAGTGTATTTGGTATGGATAGATGATTTTTGTGTACTTCGTATGGATATCCTTGGTTTATTTAGTATGGATATTATATGTATATTTGGGATGGGTAATCTTGTATTTGGAAAGGATGATTTCTAGTGTATTTGGTATGGGTAATCTTAGTACTTTTTGTAATGGCTAATCTTAGTGTCTTTCGTGTGGAAAATCTTAGTGTATTTGGTATGGGTGATCGTAGTGCATTTGATATGAATAATCTTAATATATACTGTTTAGGATCAATAATAAAAAAAAAAGTTGGGAGAGATGGATTTTTATTGTGCAAAACCTTATTTATTGTGAATCTTTTATGAAAACAACAACATCAACAACAAAAACGAATCATATGTTATTCTAGCTTTCATTTTGTTGTTATATATAGATGCATTCATTTTTTTTTCTCTAAAAGTGTTGAGGCAATATGAAAGTAGGATTTTCTGACAAAGAAAAGCAGTGCAGATGATGTTATTTTCGAACATTAAATGGTATTTTCCTGCCACGTTTGAATACTCTTTATACCAACCATCCCTTGAGGAAAATGGGGATAAACCAGCATTACACATAAGAAAATATACAAAAAATACATGCCTGCAAAATATCATTTTGTGTGTGTCAAGAGAAATACTTTATACAAGGAAAGTTTACCGGAATAGTAATGCCTTCTCTCATTCAGATACTAAACAGATGAAGAATATCAAAATATCGATATCTTTGGGTATAAACCATTAAACACAGTTGTTCTCTCTGTTATTTAATAAACACTTTTTTGCTTTTTCTCTCTTTTTTTATTTTTATTTATTTATTTATTTTTTACCTTCCATACGTTCTTTATCCAGTTTTTAAAAAATCACGCTGCACCATTTCCTCGCGCGTTACACATCCTAAAAGGAATAGGCCTACCTTTTCCTTTTTCATCCTCGACTGATGTCACGCTGCCACTTGCACAACATGACCTCCACTTCACCCTCAATCAGGAAGCGAGAGATAGCTGTTGTCGAGTATGCGCACATGCCCCGGGTACTGGCAGGGGTCGGGCAACTCACAGGTCATCGAACTGCAAAACACCAAAAGATGCAGCCATGAAGAGCCATATAAAGACACGCCTAAGCTTACGTAAACTTCAGTCCTGCCGCCCGCTTTTCACTGAAAAAAGAATAATACTTTTGATCTTAGGGAGGCGTGATTGTCATCTGCGATGAAATGATTTTACTTTCTTTTTTTTCTGCAATGGAATATAATGGTGATTTGTGTTAGTAGGGTATTCAGGCAGACGTATACATCTCAGATTTCTCATAAACATTGACGTACCGGGCTCCCCAAATAGGCATAGCCCGAGCGAGGCTCTGCTTCGCGAATCTAAAAAAAAAAAAAAAAAAAAAAAAAAAAAAAAAAAAAAAAAAAAAAAAAAAAAAAAAACATTGACGAAAATGTGTAGGATCCATACAGATAAACAGATAGATAGATAGATGGATAAATAGAT